TCAGGTCAGTGAGGTAGTTTGGGGCAGCTTTATGGATGGGTTTGTATGTTAGAGTTAGTAATTTGAATTTAATGCGTTGGGCAATCGAGAGCCAGTGAAGGGATAAGCAGAGGGGGTGGCAGAAGTGGAGCGGTTGGTGAGGTGGATGAGTCTAGCCGCTGAGTTCAGGATAGACTGAAGCGGGGATAGCCTGCGTTGGGGTAGGCCAGTGAGAAGGGAATTGCAGTAGTCTAGGCCTGAGATAATAAGGGAGTGTACGAGTTGTTTAGTGGTGTCTGGGGTTAGGAAAGTACGTATCTTGGAGATGTTGCGGAGGTGGAGCCTGCATGAATTTGCTAGTGATTGGACATGATGTTGAAAGGAAAGGTTTTCAGTCCAGGGTGACACCTAGGACTTTGGCTTGCGGGGTGGGATTGATGGTGGCGTTGTTGGTCGTGATGGAGAGGATGGGGGGGGGGGGGGGGCGCGGGCTGGGGGGAAAACTAGGAGGTCGGTTTTGGAAAGGTTTAACTTGAGGAAATGGAGCGACATCCAGCCTGTTATGTCGTTTAGGAGGTGGGTGATGCGGGGGGAGACTGAGGGGGTGAGGTGAGGGGTGGAGAGGTAAATTTGTGCGTCATTGGCGTAGAGGTGATAGTTGAAGCCGTGGGAGTGTATAAGTTTGCCAAGGGAGGAGGTGTAGATGGAGAAGAGCCTTGAGGGACCCCAACAGAGAGGGGGAGCGAGGGGGAGGTGGCAGCGTTATAGGTAACGCTGAAAGAGTGTTGGGATAGGTAAGAGGAGAACCAGGAGAGAGCAGAGTCCCTGATGCCAAGGGAGTGTAGTTTATTAAGGAGGAGGGGGTGGTCGACTGTGTCGAAGGCCGTGGAGAGGTTGAGGAGTAGGAGGACTGAGTAGTGGCCGTTAGCTTTGGGATGGAGGAACTTGACTGTCCTGACCTCAAACCGATAGAACACATTGGGATGGATTAGAGCAGACACTGCATGCCAGGCCTTCATGTCCATCATCAGTGCCTGACCTCACAAATGCGCTTCTGAAAGAATGGTCAAACATTCCCATAGATACTCTCCTAAACCTTGTGGACAGCCTTCCCAGAAGAGTTGAAGCTGTTATAGCTGCCAAGGGTGGGCCAACTAAATATTGAATCCTACGGACTAAGACTGGGATGCCATTAACGTTCATGTGCTTATAAAGGCAGGCATTCCAATACTTTTGGCAGTATAGTGTATACAAAGATTCTTTATTTTTTTTAATTACTTGAACTAGATGGAGGATGTCTTTTTCAGTCTGCCTATCTATATAACTACACTGCTCAAAAAAATTAAAGGAACACTTTGAAAACACATCAGATCTCAATGGGGAAAAATATCATGCTGGATATCTATATTGATATGGATTGGGTAACGTGTTAGGAACGTAAGAATGCCCCATTGTTTGATAGAAATGAAAATTCTCAACCTACAGAGGACTGAATTCAAAGACACCTTGAAAATCAAAGTGAAAAAATTATGCAGCAGGCTAGTCCATTTTGCTGAAATTTCATTGCAGCAACTCAAAATGGTACACAGTAGTTTGTATGGACCCCCATGTGTTTGTATGTATTCCTGACAATGTCGGGACATGCTCCTAATGAGACGACGGATGGTGTCCTGGGGTATTTCCTTCCAGGCCTGGACCAGGGCATCACTGAGATCCTGGACAGTATGAGGTGCAACCTAGCAGTGGCAGATGGACCGAAAAATGATAACACAGAGGTGTTCAATTTAGGTCAGGCGAGCGTGGGGGCCATTCAATGGTATCAATTCCTTCATCCTCCAGAAACTGTCTGCATACTTTCATCACATGAGGCTGGGCATTGTCGTGCACCAGGAGGAACCCAGGACCCACTGCACCAGCGTAGGGCCTGACAATGGGTCCAAGGATTTCATCCCGATACCTAATGGCAGTCAGGATGCCATTGTCTAGCCTGTAGAGGTCTGTGAGTCCCTCAATGGATATGCTTCCCCAGACCATCACTGACCCACCACCAAAACGGTCATGCTGAACAATGTTACAGGCAGAAAAATGTTCTCCACGGCTTCTCCAGACCCTTTCACGTCTGTCACATGTGCTCAGGGTGAACCTGCTCGCATCTGTGAAAAAAAACACAGGGCACCAGTGGCAGACCTGCCAATTCTGGAGTTCAGTGGCAAATGCCAATCAAGCTCTATGGTGCCAGGCAGTGAGCACAGGGCCCACTAGAGGACGTTGGGCCCTCAAGCCTGTTTCTGATTGTTTGGTCAGAGACATTCACACCAGTGAATGCTGGAGGCCATTCTTTAGGGCTCTGACAGTGCTCATCTTGTTCCTCCTTGCACAAAGGAGCAGATACCAGTCCTGCTAATGGGTTAAGGACCTTCTACAGCCCTGTCCAGCTCTCCTAAAGTAACTGCCTGTCTCCTGGAATTTCTTCCATGCTCTTGAGACTGCTGGGAGATACAGCAAACCTTCTGGCAATGGCACATATCGATGTGCTATCCTGGAGGAGTTGGACTGCCTATGCAACTTCTGTAGGATCCTAGTATCGCCTCATGCTACCAGTAGTGACACTGACCCTAGCTATATGCAAAACTATTGAAAAACTGTCAGAAAAGACAAGTAGAGAAAAAAATGTTAGTGACCTCCAACTGTAAAACCATTCCTGCTTTGGAGGTTGTCTCATTGTTGCCCATCTAGTGCACCTATTATTAATTTCATTAACACCAAAGCAGCTGAAACTGATTAAAAGCCCCCTCTGCTACTTAACTGACCAGATCAATATCCCAGGTGTTTAATTGACTTAATGCAATACTCTGATTAAAAGTGTTCCTTTAATTTTTTAAACAGTGTATATGTAGTAATTTGACATTATCTTCAAATGCATTTCTTAGAGCAAATTCTGCTTTATCAAAGAAAATGTATTGTTCAAAGGCCATAAAATCAATCTAAGTTAATAAATTAGAATCAAGCATCACAATGGCACAAAGTGTTTTTAATCTTGATTAAGATTACAAAATCTTCCAAGGTTTTATTACTTGAAAATGGTCTGATAACCCTATAATCTTACCTCACCGATGGTATGACTCAGCTGAATATCAAGCTGAATATCAAGTGATGTGATCTTGTGCATATCACATCAGGTGGTACCCTCGGGCAACAGTCCTCATGATCCTTTTCCCCATCCGTTATGGTTAGAAGAGCATCATTCTTGAAGTATGGCCTTTCTGCAGCCATACTACTGTAAAAAAAAAAAATACTACTGCATACTTATAAAACAGCAGGGTGCAAATGTCTTTTCTCATCATGACTATGTAACAAAATAACTACAGTATATGCAGCTTCACCCATATTGCTTCAGCGCGGTCACACACTCCATCAACAAGTTCCTCTTTCACACTAACTTTGAGATCACTTCTCACATAGAGAAAGACATCACCGATTTTTCATTTTACCCTGCCTGAAAGATAGCATAGCCAAGAATATTAATTGCCCAATTGTATGAAAAATTCATCCAATATTCATCAGTATCAATTAAATAATAGTTATTTTCATGTACCAAAGCTTTCCACTCTCCTATTTTGCTTGGCAGACTTCTGGCATTGATGTACAAACCATTTAATTTATTGGGCACAATTCACTAAGCGGTATCTTACTGCATCTGAGTATGCGGTAGGATACCACATAGCATTTTGTAATAAAGAAAGAATTGCCAGCAATTAAAGTAATAATTAAAAAAACAACATAAGGTCCCCCCCCTCCACGTATACCAAGCCCTTTGGGTCTGCTATGGAATTTGAGATGAACCCCAAAATTAAAAAAATGGCATGGGGTCCCCCCAAAATCCATATTAGACCCTTATTTGAGCATGCAGTCCAGCAGGTCAGGAAAGGGGGGATGAGACATTTTTTTTAATTTTGGTGTGGGGGTTCCCCTCAAAATCCAAATCAGACCTGAATGGCTTGGTATGGATGTCATTTTTTTTTAAATTGCCTGCAATTTGTTTTTTTACATTCAGCTGTCAGTGGGCAACCCCGCTGACAGCTGATGAATCATAGGTTGTTAAGGACTCCGTGGCCACCCATTCCTTAACAACCTATGACAGATACCAGTACATACCACATGCCTGAACCACTACTTAATTACTGCATGCATTTAATTATTTATTTCCTTTTGTGAATTGACTTTAAGGTCTTTTTATGTGGCATTTACTGAGTAAATACTGCATATTAACAGTAGTGAATTGACATTTTCAGTATCGCATGCGATATGTGGTCATGTGACTGACTTAACTCATGCGATAAGCTTTAGTGAATTGTGTCCATTGTCATATTCAGCACTTGTGTTTTGCATATCTTTTGTTTTTTGCAAATCTTTGACATGCTGTAGTAAAACATTAATATATTCTGTCTCTGGGTGGCAGTTTTCTAGATACTGTTGGAAAGACCCTTACTCAATGGTACCTGTTATATGGACAATCACCAACCTGTAAAATATGAATAAAAAAACAGAAATGGCAAGCAGAATCGGCATTCGTGGGGATATACAGTATTAACCACTTGCCTACCGGGCACTTATACCCCCTTCCTGTCCAGGCCAGTTTTCAGCTTTCAGCGCTGTCACACTTTGAATGGCAATTGCGCGGTCATGCAACACTCTACCCATATGACATTTTTATCATTTTTTTGAGACAGATAGAGATTTCTTTTGGTAGTATTTAATCACCTCTTGGTTTTTTATTTTTTGCTAAACAAACCAAAAAGTACAGAAAATTTGGGAAAAAAAGCTTTTTCTTAGTTTTTGTTATAACATTTTGTAAATAAGTGATTTTTCTTCTCCACTGATGTGCGCTAATGAGGCTGAAGTGATGAGCACTGATTATCTGCACTGTTGGGCACTGATAGGTGGCACTGATGGGCACTGATGAGGAGGCACTGGTAGGTGGCACTGATGGACATTGACAGGCATCACTGATGGGCACTGAAAGGCAGCACTCATATATGGCACTGATAGGCGGCACTGACTGGCACTGACTGGCACTCTTAGGTGGCACTGACTGGCACTGTTAGGCAGCACTGATAGGCACCACTGACGGGCACTGATAAGTGGCACTGATGCACACTGATATGTGGCACTGACTGGTACTGATAGACAGCACTAACTGGTACTGATAGGTGGCACTGACTGGCACTGACAAGTGACACTGAAAGGCAGCTCAGATGGGCACTGATATGTGGCATTGATGTGCACTGGTAGGCACTGATATGTGGCATTGATGTGGCACTGATGGGCACTGGCAGGTGGCATTGATGAGCACTGACAGCTGGCATTGATGGAGACTGACAGGTGGCACTGCTGGGGCTACACAGATCATCAGGGCACACTGATCATCAGTGCCCTGATGATCAATGTACATGTCCCCTCTGAGGAATGCCGATTACCTGTTCTCACGAGCTGTCAGCATGACAGCTCGTTAGGAGAGAAATGCCGGCATTTCCCTATTTACATGCAATCAGCTGTGATTGGACATGGCTGATCACATGACCAAGCCACCGTCTTCGGCTCTTTCCATTGATCATTGATCCGCCGCGCATAGATCGCCGCGCTGCGCGCCCCAAGGGCCACGCACGTGCGGTTAGAGTGGGAGGACGTCATATGACGGGTGGGGAAGCAGTTGAACAGTAATAAACAATAGTAATGCAACATACCTAGGGATAATCTAAATAAAGAAATACATATATTAAAAAAGGAAAGCCCATGTATGAAACCAAATCCTTGTGCTGAGACCATATCTAGGCCCTCACTAAGGCCAGGAGGTGTTAGAGTATTAGTTACATCTCTTTCACAATTTCTTGAATCTAATCCACCTAAGATGGTCTTGGTGCCACACACTTCAATACATCAGGGTTAGCATTATGGGCATCGTGAAAGTATCTTGGTACTGAATAAATATCTATTATTATTATTATAGATAATTTTTTTGCACTCTCCAAATATGATACAAACCACATAGGCATATAGGTACACATGCGCGCTACAATTGGTAAACTGTTTAGTTCTAATAAATCTCTGTGTGGAATGAAAACCTATGGCACAAGAAAGCACATACCCCACAGCTGTAATTGCCTATTTGCCTACTTAATCGTGCCTTTATTATTTTCCACTCTACCTTACTCAGAGCCAGTAAACTATTTAAATCTCTAGGCTTCCTGAATATTATTTTAGATCTACATGGAAGGATGTTATTCAAAGCTAAGCCTTTATGCAGTACTCTCCAATGTTTCCTAAACACCATGGTAACTAGAGAGTCACATTTGTTATGTTTTGTACTAAAATATACCAGAAGGGATAATTGTTATATATGTTTAGCTTTTCATTTGTTTCATTTATTTCACTTAATGTTTATCAAGTGTTATTTGTATTGTCCCATCTTGGAACCCCTTTTCTATAAATTTACATTTCATGACTACTCATTGTAATGTGTAATCTTCATCCTTAGTGTATGTCTGCCTCATTCTCCAAAATTGTTCTTTTGGATCATTGCAAATCTGCTTGAGATGGTAAACACTCTCACCGGGCAGGTATGATTTATCTAATGTAGGTTTTAAATCTGTCTTAGAAATGATCTCCCCATTCTCATCATGATCCATCCAAAAAAGGGCTTTTTAATTACCACGTGTTAATTCATCATATGTAAAATCTTGTAGGGTTATTGCCACAATATAAGAAAGAATGATTAAGTCTTTTTATACCATTGTCCCAGATGATATGAAATCACCTATATATGGAGCAAAGAGAACTGGGTTTCCCCAGAAGGGGATGTGTGCCCAAATATGAAATTGTTCCCAGTAGGGATGCACCGAAATTTCGGTGGCTAACACATTTCGGCCAAAAACACCCCTTTCAGCCATTGGCCGAAATGAAAACAAGCGCCGACACAGGTAGAGGAAAAACCCTGCCCCTCACCGCCCCCACCACCCTTCGCCGCCGCCCCCGCCACTCGGTAGTTCTCAGCCTTACCTGAGAAACCATTGATCCCGGTGCTGGGCATAGAGATGAGTGAAGGAGTGATGGCCACCACTCACTTCTATGCCCTTGGAGGACCGGAGCGATGTCACTTCCCGTTCCGGCCATTTTTTTTTTTTTTTTTTTTTAAAGCACTAGATCAATGCTTTTTTTTTGATCCAATGCTTTAAATTGCAGAGGAGAGATATGGGGTCGTATTGACCCTATATCTCTCCATAAAGAGGATATGTCACTAATTATTTCTATCATAAGGGATGCATGCATTTCTTGTGATAAGAATAAAAGTGATTAAATTTTTTTAAAGGGAAAGTGCAAAAAAAACCCCAAAAACATCAAATACATTTTTTAAACAAAGTTTAACGTGCCCCCGTCCCTCCGTGCTCGCACATAGTGGTGAACGCACACTAGTCCATGCCCACATATGTAAATTGTGTTCAAACCACACGCGTGAGGTATCACCATGAACGTCAGAGCAAGAGCAATAATTCTCCCACTAGACCTCCTCTGTAACTTTACACTGCTAACCTGTAGAGATTTTTAAAGCATCACCCATGAAGATTTTTAAGTACCGCAGTTTCACGTCATTCCACAAGCATGCGCAATTTAAAGCATGACATGTTGGGTATCTATTTACTCATCATAACATCCTCTTTCATATTTTACAAATAAATTGGGGTATATATTTTTGATTTTTTTATTCAAAGCATATTTTTTTCCAAAAAATATATATTCATTTTTAAAAATCGCACATTTCGGTTTCAGTTTTTGGCCAAGTGCATTTTGAATTTTTGGTTCCGGCACCAGTGACTCTCAAATAAGTTAATGTAACTAGGAGGAAATCTCCCATTGCTGTACTTTTTTCTGCATGAGAACTAATCCATGAAGGAAAATAATTGTGGAACAATAAAATATACATTTCTTCTAAAATGAAGCTTGTATGGAATTGAAAGACCCAGACTAAAGATAAAAAAGCGAGCTACTTTGAGTCCATGTTCATGCTTTATGGATGTATACTGTATATATATCATGGACAAAGGACAGTAGTGGAAATACTAAAGGCAGAACAAAATAATCTATATATCTGTCCAAACTGCATGTGAGACTATCTAGTCCTGTGATAACAGTTCACCCCTGGGGTCTTTTCTAATTGTTATGTATTTTTCGAATATGATAAAAATTACAAATGGTAGACATTAACAGAGAAGTATGGGTTTACTTTTTTAAGCTTCATCCTATTGCTTGTGAACTACTAATACATAAAAATCTTTCCAGCCCTCTGAGAAGTGCACCCTTTCAGTTAAAATCAAGGTAAATACCTGTGGGAGGGGCTACAGTTTTCTCTGGATTCTTCTCATGCCCTCAATCTTGCCGGGATCCACTCCCTTTCCTTCCCCTGTGTTTGACTGATATCAACTTTGGGATGTCTGCTCACTCTTGAGACTTCACAGAGAACAGCTCCTCCCTCCCTCAATCCTCTTCTCACACAGCACACAGTTCAGATTGATTCTCTTACAAACAGCCTCTACTGCACACTGTGTAGCCAGATTCTATGCTGCACAGCTGTTTTATGTGTAGTATTATGTTCATCAGACTGTGTTCTTCTATTGTTGTGACTTAAATGACGTTCAGAGCACATTTTATGCCCAATTCATGCAAAACTCCACGTAATCCTAAGGGGTTCACATACTTTTTCTTGCAACTGTATGTTGCCTGTGCACTAATGACCCAGTAAACAAATGTCCAGCCAGAAATTGTCTTTCAAATGTTGTACTGAACAGTCAGTTTGTTATAGAATAATCCAGCTTGTGGAAAATACAAACTACACTTCCTGCATAGAGGGGCTGCATGCCAGCATTTTTCATATCTGCACATATCATCTCCTGTTCTGACATCCTAAAATAATATTTACCTGCCCCAAACAAGGGCTGGCAGAGGAAAGACTCCTGTGGTACTCCTACCACCACTTAACAAGGGACTCTATGGCTTTTGTTCCCACATTCCTAACTTCTCCTCCCCCTTTAAAAGCCTCTGCCCAAGAGTGAAGTCCAGCCTGCAAACTGGCTTTGGGTTACAGGGAGGATACCACACCCCTGCTTACTTCTGAATCTCAGAATTGTCTGAAATTTTCAACTGCGGTATTACTTGCCTCAATATCCTACAGCACCTCTAGAATATCTAATGTAACCAGGTCCTCACCATTTAGCAGGATCTGTTGTGTATTGGTATTTGCATTAGCATAGGCTTGGGTCTCCTCTTCCCCATTCTGAATTTCCCCAAGTAGAAATGCTGCTATTATGTAAGATTTCTAATATAATAACTGAGAAAGGTTGGCTCTGATGGTAGGGCACGATCCCTGAAAACATGTTAAGCCACACTCACTTTACTAGCTATGGTCCACACATCAATACCTGTGACTCCCCATGCCTTTGGCAATTTACTATTGCATGTTCGTGAGTATTTTTATTTACAAATTCTTTATAAATGATCGCAACAAGGAAAAGGTGCTCTGTATTTTTTTTCTTTGAAATACTGTACATCATAAGTCCCTGTCTGTGATGTGAACTACCTATACTTTTATGTGGTTTGAACATTTATGAAGGTCTATTGTGGTCAATGGTATGGTGCCCCTGCTGGTAGTCGCTAAACACTGAAGTAACTGGTTTTTAGTCTTAGTAATAATGCAGCAAACAAAACACTGGAACAATGATGGGTTTGGCCTAAATGTACTAACAGTGAGAGGGGAATGAAGGGACATGGTAAAATAAAACATGAGCCTACTCACTGGGGTTAATTTACATAAGGCAAATAGGTTGTTCACTTTGCAAGGAAAGTTGCATTTTGCAAGGGAACTTGCCCCAGACTCGAGTGTTTCACTTTCCAAAGAATATCCAGTCTTGTGCAAGGAACATGTCATGGGTCTTGTATACACAAGATGATTATAATACTATGCCACAAGCGAGAGACTCACAGACAATAAGATAAACTTTAGCTCAATATTTTTTCAAAATAATGAAACTCTTTCTCTACATATGCTTTTCAGCACATTGGATATAGACAGAGACTTTGTAGCAATCACCAACTGTTGAGACAATGAATAATTTAGTCAGATGTATGTAATGTACAATATAGCATAAAGAGTGCTGGGGCTATGATTATTTAAAATACTGAATGCAGGGGTTATGAGTAGGCAAGACACAAATGCAAAGGTCAGGACTGTGCAATACAAAGAGTGCAGGTGTTAGGTGTGTTTAATGGAGTAAGTTCAGGGGTTATGTGACAGAAAACCCTCCTTTTGCAGGACGTAGGTAACTTTTTAATAGCTGGTC